TTCATATACATATATATATATATATATATATATATATATATATATATGATCAACTGGTAGCCAGCTACTTATAAACGAAAAGTTTTAGTATCATTTTTGTTTTATAGGTTCGTTTCATTATAGATATCCGAGACTATTATTAGGTAACTAAATTTTTCCACAAACATATGAGTAAACCTTATATTTCCACTAAATTTAGCATAGCCTTCCTTCCCGAAAGGTATTCTCATCCAGACTGGACTCGATTGCCGTTTTAACCTCGTCTAGGTCTCATCAACACCCCCAACGGGATTTGAACCAGGATTTTGATACTACATCCTATAATCTCGATACATTACCACTACTCCACACCGCCATGAGCGCCCTTGGGTCACAGGACAGACACGAATTTTAAGGAAGCCTAGGCCAGAAAGCACGGCTATATAAAGTTCAATAGAAACATAAGGCCTATTATGTGATTATTGAAAAATGTATCCATCAATCCTTGAGCACTTTGAAAGAAATTCGGTAAATACATCTCATATATATGATCTGCTGATAGTCTCTAAAATCTACTCCAAGCGAAATATAAGTAGTGTTATCGAATGTTATAGCAAACATAACTATGTTTAATTGATAATCTCACCATAGAATGTGATATGAAAGGTTCACATCTGCCCTGTGACCAAAGGGCACTCGTTGGAATGTGGCAGAGAGACTAACTTTTCGAGATTACACGCTACGCTATCATCGTACAACGCCCCCTGGGGGTGTTGATAAGACCTAGGCGAGGTCGAAACCTCAGTCCACCCTTGCCCAGGTGAGAATACCTTTTGGGAAAGCAAGGCTATGTAAAATTCAATGGAAAGGTTATGTCTACTCACATGATTGTTGGAAAATTCACTTACCAACCCTTTATCCTTTTAAATAAAATTGGGTGAACACATTTCATTATTAATAAAAAAATATGGCAATCAAGTCGAAATTAATCCCTCCCTTTTTCAAGCCTAGGAACAAGAGCCTAACTCCAAGGTCCAATTAGTCGACCAAGTTTCAAGACATGCATTAGCACGTATTCATGTTTCGCATGCTGAAAACGTCGTCATTCCTTCAATGCTTGAAGTAAACGAAAGAATAAGGAGTTATTTGTTTCAGCGTACCATGTTCACAGTATTCATGTTTACATCAACGGCACCAGCTTATCTCTGTCAAACCTGAGTCGAAGTAAAGCAAGTAGAAGATTGATGATAGCAGAGAAACACAGCTGTTCAAGTGCTGCCTCTCTACCCCCCCCCACTCAAAAATAGGCAGATATCTGCAGATGCTTCCTTAAACTGGCGAAAGCCTCTGAGGTATGTTTCTTGTAGTAAGCCAATATAATAATATAGTACAAGGGTACAGCAAAAACATTTTTTCAACATAAACCGTCCAATTGTATCGTGCTAGGGAACGTCGAGTAATCTAAAAAGGTACTATGACACAAATGGTGTAGCTTCTCGGCTCCGATCTAAATTTGGCCAGTGCTGATGTATAACCTATCAATTGTAACGTAGATATAACAATGAAGGTTTGGTTGCAGCCTCCTTTAGCTATAATGGATTGGTATAACCACGTTTTCGCAACTTGGCTAGGGCGACAGTCACACCTTGCAAAACATACCAAGTACTGCGCCCTGTCAGAGGAACCATGTTCATTCGTAGCATCAGACCGTTGATTTGGACCATACCCTGACGTCTTGCCGGTGTCGTTGTCAGCATCATCAGTGAAAGACGCCATCCTAAAAACAGATTTACAGCTAGTCAAAGATACAAGTGAGGGCAATCCTGTGGATCTATTTTCTGTTCAACAATTTTGGCATCTCTTGTCCCCCTCCTTACCTTGTTTCTGGTACTGTATTCTTATCCGTCAGTCCCACTTTATATGCTCACTTTTTCTAATCACACTTCTCTGTAACTCCATTTGTTCCAATACATACCAAATGTGCCCGTCTTGCGGTAGGTATAGTGAGGCTGCAGAAAGGGCTTCCTAATCTTAACTAGTACACCATTCGTCAATTCACTTCACCCAACTCATTTTAGCTGAACTCTCTGCTCCCAGCTGGTTGGCTAACTATAAGCCCTCAATCCCAGCCAGTATATGCACCATAATCGACGGGCTATTTATATAATCGGCTTTAACTTCGTCAAGTCCAAGGCACAAGACAATCCAAAGCAGTAAAGTGATGACAGGCCCATTAAGAGTTGAAGTGAATTGTGACAGGAAAGATAGAAAATGATAGCATTTTCAAACTATTATAAGTAGACAATTCACTGCAGGATGATTGTCTAAAATGTTCTGAGTCCTCTTTTCTAGCATTCGAGCCAAATAATCCAAACCAATCTACCTGATTGGATCCAGCAACCTAGTGACCACGTAAACTCGACAAAGCCAAACCATGTGAAACAGCTAGCCACTGACCTAAAGGGCCAAATGAAATATCGTTATTGCTGCAAATTTAAGCAAGGAACACGTTAATTTGTCGGTCATACCAGAGTTCGATCGCTTAATAAGTGGGTTAGTTAATTCAACAATTATAAGAGATGTATTAACCCTATTTCTTTTAAGTTAATGAATAAACCTACTTGTAACCGATAAACAATTATGGATGAAGTGAGGTGTAGCTGATTAAAGTTGTGAATAGCTTCTGTTTCTCACTATTTCAAACAAAACATTAAAAAAATAGAAAACGGCATGGTGTGCTTCGATCGTATGGTCATGCTAGCTATGGATGTTGCCAATCGTGGAAGATACAAATAAAAGTTGGTTCTGTCTTACAGCAACATTCAATTAGATCAAATCTTCATTGTATGATAACAAACCTTTTAATGAGGCCCATGCATGCGCCCCAAATAAAGACTTTAAAGTGAAGTAAAATGCTCGGGATATAGCTCACTCTGTAAGCTTTTCACGCTTGCTCTCCTCGAACGGGAACAATGGAAGCGTTTGTATAATAGCCATTCGTGTGGCGATCTTTATCTGCTCCTCCTCGGTCAGTTGGGACATGGGTCGAGAGACACCGGGAGCTGGGTGAAGAATCGGATCATTGTCCTGTGGAAAAATGGCAAAAATGTTTTAGAGTAAAGCGATTAAAGAGTATGCATATTCGGGTCAATTGATTATTAATGGATAATCCTAACAAACAATAATCAAATTCACCAAAATCAGAGGGAAGGATGCACATGTGCGTCAAATTTTGGTAGTCAGAATAAACAGGTCAAACTTAAATATCGAAATAAAGTAACGCCATCGATCGCAATGGTAAATACATATTCGCCCAATTGACAATCCCAGAATAAATGTGATTTTGTAGAGGTCAGGTCTTCCTAGTACCTGCCCTGTGACCCACCGGTCCCAGTGGCCGTAAAGCGGAGTCGTGATGCGGCCACGATACTCACGAGCCGGTATGCAATTTCGTTGAAGGTGCTAATGAGACGATGGGGCGAGGTCACAACTGCAGTCCACTTAAGCAGATGTTAGTTTACCTTTTGGGAGGCGAGGCGAGGCGAAGTGAAATTCAATGGCATCGTAAGACCAATTTCTTGGAATGAGAACAACTCAACTATCAATGCCTAAATGTGCCTAGGCGACCTCAGTTCACTATGTTCTTAAATGTAAATGGTACTTAGTATCATAACTGAAAATAAATAAACCTGTTTTGCTTCAAAATTCATTATGGCAAATTAAGTAGCGCACTCTACTGTCATTTGGGCAACGCATCAGCCATTTTGCATAATTGGCCAATTGTCGTAGTCAGGGGGCTGGATGATTATAAGACCTTCCCCATCAGAAAGAAGAACGACACAAAGTAACAAAAGGAGAGGACTGATTGTCATTCTGAAAACCATTTCCTGCGCTTTCTCAAGTCTTCAAAGAATGCCATCACCATTCTGCCTTTACAGGAATTGAAATATGGTTAGGTTGGCACTGATGAGGACTTGATGTGAAGGTTCTTGTTGAAGTCGCCACACTCCTCGTAGCATCAACCTCCGTTCTAAGCGAACCCGTGCGCAAGCATGAATGACAATTTGGCAGTCAGTCATACTTTTCAACAACAACTTTCATCTGATCTGATTGTATGGTTATCAGCCGGCAGGACAGGATAAATGTTACTGCGTCACATCTGCCTCGATTACGCTCTATAATTTCCCAGACCCGGTGTCATTGTGATGATCTCCTGCCTAAGCCGATGCTCAGAGAAATCGATAAACTTTCATAAAAGCTCATTCCTTAGGCTGAAATAGCGCCAGTCTTCAAACCACGTGAAGGCAAATGGCGAAGTGTCGTTCACTGTACACCAGGAATTAACAAAATACAGGTATCTTAGCTATTTGCTTGCATATG